ACCTCTCACCCCAGCAGGCCTGGGTTCAATCCCAGTTGGCGCCGCTGGGAAGTTCTGAGGCATAACATCTTTGATCACGCCTTCCTTCGGAAGGGAAGTAAAGCCGTTGGTCCCCAATTCTTGAGTTGATGGGTCGATAGGTAGGGTCCAGGTGTGGGAGCTGCCACCATAGCGTTGGTAGCATTGGTAGCCAGCACGGAAAACAAACCAAAGGAAAAAAACAAAAGTATTGAATAGTGAAATCGGTTTACCTTGCTGTCGGATGCCATCAACACAAAAATCAAGCGTTCTTTAGCAGTTAAAATCCGTGGAATTTAAGAAAAAAAAATCAATATTTTCACCTCACTTTCTGCTTTTTTTCTGAATGAGTCGAATGAAAACTAGACACAAATCTATTTCGTTCAACAAATCAAACGTCAAATATGATCATCATGTCGAAAAAGTGTGAATACATCCGAACATTGAATCCGACAAAATTATCGAATCAGACCAACAAATCAGAAAGTCTTAATGTACCTTAAGCAGGCACATCAAATTATCAGGAAAAATTTGGGAACTGTGGCCATCTTCTTATTTATCAAATGCTGTTTACTTTTCTCGGACATTTAGAAGCATTAGCTATCCAGTGGTGCCAAAATTATTTTAATAATGCAACACAAGAATGAGATATTGATATTGAATTCTGTGCAAAAATACCGCACGCACTCTATACATTTATTTCGTGCATTAATTTACATGCATTTGCCTCTAACTTTTTCCATCAACAGAATTACGTACAATGATGTATTTTGTAGGTTTTGATATTAGCTACAAATTTTGTCGTTTACCTGTATCTCTTATGCATAACGGACTAGTGCAGATAGAACTTTTTATTGCTGTTCAGTAAATGTAATTTACAGTTACTGAGCACAATGGTAGGTTCTGTTCGCTTTGGTTTATCATGCATAAGAGATACAGGTTTGAGTAAGCGACAAAAGTTGTAGCTAATATCAAAACATACAAAAGCTTCATACATAACTTTAGCTAATATCAAAACATACAAAAGCTTCATACATAATTTTAGGAATTTCAGGTGATGAAAAAAGTTAGAGGCGAATGAATGTAAATCAATTAAATGAATGTACATGATTTTCCATGCCTGGTTTTATGAACTTCATGGTAGTTTCTTAAACTTCAGGAAAATTGCGGATACCTCAGGTAATATCAATGAACTTAATAGTGGATAAGAAAACTTATGTAACATTGCGGGATCTTCTAAACAGTTCTGAAAAGTCCAGAAAAGATCTGCAGGATACTCCTTAAAGTCTAAAAATATCTGGACTTTCAGAGAAGTCTGAATTTCAACAGAATTTCGAAAACTTCAGTTAAATTTTAGAACTGCATTAATTAATCAGTTTTAATTAAGGAAGATTGCGTAATCCTTAATGAGGTTCCGCGAGTTTCAAGGAAGTTCAAAAATCTCCAGAGAAGTTCAAGTTCAAGTTAGCCTGTCGATCGGTATCTGCTGGAGATTAATATTCTTGTTTAAACCCTTGCCTGTCTATTGCAAAAATATTCGTTATAAAGCGTTTGTCGATTTTTATTTGTTTACCAAGACAGAGGGTAATTTCACTTTTCACATCTCGGGATAGAAAACTGGCTAGGATGTTGTTTTATTAACGTATTAACGCCCAGTGATTTATTTACAGATCAGCATTTTTTGTTTGTTTTAACATCCGAGTCACGCTCTATACGCAATGCGGATCATGGTTTTTAAGATGTTGAGGTATCTCACTCCTTTATACCGTGGAGGTATGGCAGACTACCTTTGTTGTATCATGTCTCAACAGAAATTGGGAACGTGAATTATGTTTTCAGTATAACTAGAATGGTCCTTGGAATATTCTCAACATCTTGTTTTATAATAATGTGAGAATAATCCTTGGGTTACTCCTGGAAAAATAGCGCATTGTCCGGAGGTACATAACATATGTGGAACTCGATCATTAAAAATCGATTCCATTTCAGTGAATTCAAGTGGTATAGAAGGACATCGATCTGTCAAATTGATTATACCAGCTGTAAAATGAGAAAGGGAATCAAGGGGCTTGTAAATTCTTTAACATAATTCTACCGTGGTTTACAATTCTATGTGTTCCTAGCACTCCTAAATTCATGTATATTTTCTTAACCGTTTATGTGCTTTATTTATAATTATATAGCTAACTTTAACAAATTCATCACCTTGATCACAGCAAAACTGAGGTAAACTTATAAGAAACAGGTATGTAACATTTCCTTCTTTGGACATTTTCTAATTTTTTGAAACCAATTGCATCAAACTTTGATTTCATTAGGAGGTTTCGTAGGAGAAAAAATACGAGCACGTAAATTTGGTAATTCCAAATTTACGTGCTCGTATTTTTCCTCCTACGAAACCTCAAATGGGACTTCTGACTCTTGTTCCAAATTTTGCTGCTTCTCTCTGGACTTCAAAATGTAAGCACTTAATTAGTGCTTACATTTTGAAGTCCAGAGAGAAGCAGCAAAATTTGGAACAAGAGTCAGAAGTCCCATTTGAAAAATATGCAGTGTTTTGAACTGACTTTGCATCGTTCCATTCGCAAGAATTTTGCAAGCAGGACGATAAATGATATCTAGCACTTATCAATACCTACAATATCCAAGATTTTAACACTCCCTATGTTTCTCAGTTAATGTCAATTGAAAATTTCTTCAAAAAAAAAATGTGGTAAGGTTGATCCTTGTTGATCGAAAAGGCAAAGGAGGAGCTACACACAATCAAAACAATTTTTTTTCGACCACTATGGCTAAGGTCCCAGAGTGGGACTCCCAGCTAGCTGTATCAAAGGTAAGCACTATAATCGTTAATTTGCATCAACTGGATATTTCGTAATGTAATCATAAGTTGACAAAGCACAGTTAAAAATATTTCAACATACCACAGACAAAATGATAGTTTTACACCTATTCAACGTAATCATCAAATCTTCGAATTGTTTGCATTAAATTCTATTCAATTAACATAATTTCCGTAATCAATCCAATGCAATTAGATCGAAGAGACAAAAAAAAATTACATAGCTGTAAATAGGCAATTCTGGATAACAACGCTCTTGATTGGCTTCTGACTGATTTGAAAGTACTAGTTAAAAAATGCTTTGAAAGCTCCCTGTTGAGCTAGTCGGAAAAAAATGCCCACACGTCAAACTCCGTCAAGCATTTAAACAGTGGAGGAACAAAAGAGACAACAAATTATCTGGGCCTCACCTGTTTACATATCATTACGCATTACCGTGACTATTGATAATAATTCGCCTCTTCGGTCGCTCTGTTACTTTGGTAAAATCCCATAAGCAAACATCAGTCTGTGCGTGAAACTTGGTGAACACTTCCTTACCCTATCACTCCTATGAAAATCCCATATGATTCTGTTAATCTTTGCATGAAGAAACGGCGGCTTGCTGGAATAATAAAGAGATAAGATAAAGTCCGCTAGATTTCATGCACAGATGGTTATGGGATTTACCAAGAGTAAATAGTTGTAGAGTGGCTGTCAACGTCAATGCTTACTTTCATAAGGGCCAATGCTGCAAACGTATACAATTAATTTTTGCGTGAATTTCTCGAAAATGAAAACTCACTCAAGAAAACCAACACCATGATTGTGTAGAGAAAGAGTCCTCCTATCCGATAAAATTAGTGGCTTACATGGATTGACTTTGACCTACGAGACATTTACGAAAGAAGCCATTATTTATGTTCTCGACATTGGTCGACGCTCAGTGTCGATATCACGGAAATTTTATTTTGACAGATCGATGTCCAACTATGCCAGTTATACCACTGAGGCAAAACAAAAAAGGGGCCAGCTTTGAGTCGGCTTATTGCATGACGTTCCAGATTTTTTATGTGCCGGAGGTCATGTAATGTCTCATATATTGATAGCTAATAAAGCGAATTGATTGCATTTGCATGAATGACCTCGATCGAAAGTATTTTAAGTTTTCTTGCTAGCTGATTAATAGACCAGTTTTACTCATATCACAGTAGGAAACTAAAGTGTGTTCACGTGCATTTATGCATTCCTATATTCAGGGTGTCGACTTCATGATGAAAACCAAATTCCCTGATATTCTCTGATTTTCTCCGCACAATTTGGTGTAGCATCTGTAGACGCACATAACCATTTGGTGGTTGCATTTTGCCACAACTTACAATATCTAGCTCTACGGAAATGGATTTTATCAACCCTCAGGATTACAGATCAACTCAAGAATGTGCTCAGTGGGAACTGAATTTACATTAGGCCCAAAATCATCGAAATATCTTTTTATTTGAGTAATTGTTGCTCAACTTGCAAAAATGCAACATCAAGCAAGTTCGCAACTTTATTTAAAATTTTAAATGAACAACCATCCTCAAACTAGACCGAGTAACAATTAAGTTATTTGAAACTAGCGAAGTCAGTCATACTTTTTAATTAGTTTCCGTGATTAAGAAACATTTCCCTGAAGTTGAATGAAATTCCCTGAGATTCCCTGATGTTCAAGGTCCAAAAAGGAATTCCCTGATATTCCCTTATTTTCCAGGTTTTTTTTCAGGTAGTCGACACCCTGTATAATTATTATAATTATAGGCTCTTCAGAAAGGAAGCACATGGATTTGAGATGATTTAGGGAGCTCTAAATTTACCATGACAGCACTGGTCCTGTAACGTATATAGATCATCTCTCAGGAGTGCGTTACGATTTAGATTTTGCCCACGATTCATCCCACGTAAAATTGCAAGTTTTATCGAGGTTTTTAAGTATTCTACAAGTCTAAATAATGGTCTCCAGAACTTTCATAAATCCAAAATTGTTACTTGGGATGTTTACCTAAATTTATGTTAGTTTAAAAAAAATGTTTGTTCTCCATTTCGCATACCCTTTCCAATCTTACCCTAGCTAACCTTACTAACATTATATTCTCTCTCATTCTTTTTACACATTTGGCAGGACATGAAATTGCGACAGCTCGTCACAATGGGCTCCCAGGACACGCTGGAGGAAAAAACCGTCACCGTTTGCCACGGTGCAGACTTTGTCAATGTGAATTTCATCAATTTTTGCTGCACCAGAAAGGAGATTGCAAGGGTAAGTACCACTGTTTTACATATGCAGTGTCTTTTATTCAAATGTATACTATCTACGTTAATTTAAATAGGGTAAGTATTCCAGCTTTGGCCCATAGCATTGATTATGGCATACATAGATATATGGCAAAATATATTTTCTGATCTTGAATCGAAAAAAAAAAATAGTATACACTGAAAAACTGTGAAATTAAAGACCAACATTACCACATTTACCCAATTTGGAAAACTAAATTTAAAAAGTCCGTCTCCATATATGAAAAAGAATGATTAAGGTTCTTCAAAATATATGCATTGTGAAATGATTTCCAATGTGCTTCATTCCTTGGAACCAAATGACGCGAAAGTTTTAACCCGAGCAAGTACAAGTTTTCACTTATGGAAACTTTCGACATCCATTTACTTCGCATCACAAACTTTGACAGAGCAGCAAACAGTAGAAAGAGTGACTCAACGTTAAACAAGTGCCGATTCCGACAGGCGTTTGCACCTATAGCCGCCATAGTGCTTCAGAACCCGATGGAAATTTGTATAATGAGGTTGTAACTTTGCTCGACAAACAAATGGTGACAGTTTCCGTTCGTTATTTGCCGACCAGGTATCAGGGGAATAGAAAGCGAGTTCTCGGCACTCGGGTAGACAGAAACTTGGGTATTCGATTAAGATGTGGAAATTTCTACTTTGATGGTTTTGATGCATTATACATGTGGATATGCGTACTTATGTTGAAATTGTGTGTGACAGCGATGATGAAAGGAACAGCCCCAGTTTGGTCTTGCCTGAGTGGAATAATCAAATTTCATTTAGAAATGGAAGCACGTTACTCTTAGGAAGTTGTACCTAACGGTACCATGACTACTGAGACGCAGCTACAAAAAAAAATCTCGGTCCGGTCTAGGATTTTGTTGGGTTGAAAAATTTATCGACTTCCCTGGGCATAGAGTATGATTGAACTTGCCATACAATAATACCATTTTATAAAAATGGTACTGGCTTAGAAAGATTTGAATAAACAAATGTGGAAGAGCTCAAAGAATACTAAGTTGAGAGCTACCGCAAAGTCCCAGTAGGGACACAACAAAGCCAAAGAAGAAGAAAATGTTTATTACTTCATGTGTGAAGTTGACGGTTACCAAGTTGAGGGAGATACTTAATGAATGTCAATATCATAGTGCTTTTTAATTCAGCATTGGCCTGAATAAGAAATAAAATTAACTCAGTTTTCTATACAGAGATCAAACTTATTCATATGCCACACAAAACGCAATCTCGTCTTGAACTTGGCACGGGATTTACTTTCATTTGTTCTACCATATTTCTTCCTTTGTGCTCCTTTGATGCACGCAAGTACAGCTGACATCTAACCGGGTGAGCATTATATCATCGCGTCTTCATGTTGCTACCACCCTCAGCTAAGGCCATGTATTCTCAACTGCAGCTAGAGAACATCTGCTTCCTTCTGTATTTCACGGAAGAGATTTCGCTAGCCGTAACGCGTTGATCCTAGTAGCACTTATTCAAATGAGGCTCTTTCATCACCCAGGGAAGCTTCCTAACCAGAGCAGCAGAAGCTCATCAAGTGCGGGTGCAAAGAAGCTGGGCGTTCTCCATATTTTTCGACTCGATGGCGCATAATGATATATTATGTACCTTTTTGACCTCCAAGCATGAAACGATCATGAAAACCACTTTGCATAATGAAGAGCATTCGTTTGGAAAAATTATATGGAGACACATTTGACGAGTAGTGGCGAGAAAGAGGTTGGATCGAATTCGACGAATTTTATTAACCGGAATCATTTCTGCGAAAAATAAATGTCAGATGAAAACTTTCTTTTGCAGCATAAGCTTGCACGGGACAAAGCTAAAGAAAACATATTGAATCCGGTTCATGCACAGTAGAATTTTGTGCAAATACATTTTGGAACACACTTCAGAAGTTTACCTTAAGGCACGAGTCAAAATAGGGATTGGATATGACTCCGGTAAATATTGTACGATGATGATGAAAATCTTAAAATTCATCTTAATGCCGGAAAGATTCCCGTGAGTTATGGAGGAAAGAAAGGGGTTAAAGTCGCTTTCGTCTTTGGTTCGGCTTTTCCTCGAAGGTATTGAATGCTCGAGAATTGAACAAAGTACGGCAACGTATGGTTTGAAGTAAAGGAAGGTGCGTCAGCAGAAATCCGGCGTTACTATGCAAAAACGCTAGCTGTATCCAAATAAGATGTTGACTGTACGAGTGAACAGTGTGTTTGGAATGTTTAAGAAAGCAGCGCTGCTGGTTCTCAGTGGACGGGGAAAAGAATATTGGCTCTGGTCGCGATATGAGAAGGTGCCAAGTAGTACGATGCTCATTTTCACACTTATTTTTCTCTGTATACAATCAGTAAGGTTTCTGCTTGATACGTGGATTATCAGGATAAGAATGATGAACAGAGAGCTTGGTAGCACCAAGGAAATCAGACATTTTAATCAAACGAACAATCTTTTTGGCATCGTAAGAACTGTCGGCATTCGTGCATTTTCTGTGATTCAGATTAAGAAAATGCGCTTCGGAAAATGTATTGCAAGGTTTATGTTTGAATATAAGAGACCATGCTGGTAACTTTTTGTAATAGTTAGCTGAACTTTTGGTTTTTTTGTTGATCTTTCGAAATCATGAAATTATGTAAAACATGAAACAAAATAGTGGCAATAGCTGGCCAAATGGTCACGACGTTTCAAATTTCAAGAATAATTACAAAAAGATCATGCAAACAAGTAAGGTCAACATTACAAGAGGGTGTACGTGACGTAAGTTATTTCATCGAAAGCTTTTGAATTAAAGTATGGGTTCAGTTGTTATTATCCCTTGATATACCTCAAGGATTCACAGATTTTTTTCTGCTTTATATAATTGATCATACTGTGTCGGTTCACAGAAACACCTTTTTTTTTAATTTGTGATAAAGGTCGCCTTTTTTCGCTTTTCACCAGGCACCATTCACCATTCACCATCACCACCATCATCGGCTGTTATCGACAGTGAATTCAATGACATTTTCATCAAACATGAAAACGCACATTTTCGCAGTGGTCTGAATGGGGAGCTTCCAAACAAACCTCTTTAGATTGCATTGAAGCTGTAATGCCAATGCCACGTTGTGTAACATCATCCTGACGACAATAACAGTACAGTCAAGTTCCCCGCACAAGGCAGCCGCATAATATCTCCGAAGCACATCTGCGCGCATTAGGCAGTGTGCTCACGATTGACATTTAGTTATGAATAACGAGTATTCGTGCTTGGGCACAGCCCGTCACACATACGCCCGCCTGTCGTATGTGTGCCATGTATTGATCGATTATCCCACCCGCACCGGTAGTTGCCTGATGAATGAGAACGAGTTGAGGAAATTCCAAGTAGGTATTATCGTGCAATACGTTGGAACGTGCAACATATGCCACGCTTGTCAATCGGTTCTCTTGATTTTCCCCGTTCAATTAGATGAATGGCATTAGCGATATACCAACGGTGGTGACAATCGGAGGCTCATCAAAAGGTGGTTATATGTGACACCTGGTTGGATTGATGATAGCAGACATATGTTCATCGATTTCAAACTAGTAATTCTAGGGCTTTTGTTTAACCGCGATTGGCAACTCTATGTTTGTAGTGGTGAATATTGATTTCATAAGCAAAAGTGTTGTGACCGTCCTGCATTACTCAATCTTGCCTGCTGGCAAATTTTTCTACTCACTAGAGAAATCAGCATCATAAAGCAAGCATAAAATCGCTCGTCGCACTGTTTGGCTTCAAACTTCGAGAACTCCCGGAAATTCATTTTGATGCTCAAGCAATCGCAGAAACGATAGAGCAGTAGCAATTCCGCTGTGCTCGTTGGTTGTCCATCTCCTAGCAACCCTCGCGTTAAAGGTTAACACATCGCTGCATACATACACACTTCGCACACTTATCACCAATTCTATTGTTTTGCTCAAGTCTTTCTTTTTTTGGTGCTCTTGATATCCTGTCGACATCAACAAACGACGACGACGACGACGACGATAATGACCGTGACAGAATAAGCTTTTTTACGATTCAATCACAGAGGCCATCCGGCGTCGTTGTCGAGAGGATTGACGGGCTTCCGGTTGTATGTTGTTGTATGTATGTAGACGCAAGGGGAAGCTGGCAATATTGGTGAGGGATGATGGGAGATTTTTCCTGTTTTTGATGAAGCTAGCCGAAAGTTCGTTTGTGCTTACGAAAATCGAATGTCTACATTGCACCAGAGCACTGTGGGAATTCAGGTGGTCAATAATCACAAATTGACATTCTCAGTTTCATATGGAGAAAACCCCAGAAAATCAGATCTCTAAGCCATATACTTAACGAGATACGAGATAATATGATTGGATAGTTGCCATAAACAACAACAATAAATTCAATCTCACTTTTCTTTAAATTCAATAGAAAGTGTTCCTGAAAGCTTCAAAATCAGTTGCTATCCATATCCTTAAGTAACCGATCAAACGTATAATACCATTCTCGGATTTCTTTTGTGTGACGTGCGTGAGTTTTGTTGCCCATAGCCATGCGGGCTTTGCGAGAAAACTGTGTCGTTTTGGCAATATCCATTCTGCCTAAGCGGCCGTGTTTTTGTCGGAAATGAAACGATTTCTCGAAAGTGAGCTGCAACTTGATATGTCACAGGTAAAATGTATCCAGTCACACACTGTGAAAAACTTTGTATACCTGGGTAGGCAAAGCAACGAAGTAGCAAGAAAAATAGCTTCAGCTCATCACCTGAAGCATTTCATGGAGTATGAGGAAAGACAGATTCCAATTCGACGTACGTTTGAATGATCTCCCAGATGACATGGAGAATGTGCCTATCATCGACCATATCCGCCAGTATGGAGAGGTGATAGCAATTCGCAGTTAGGTTTGGAAGAGTTATTTTCCAGGCTTCAGCAATGGAGTGCGTGTTTCAAAAATGAAACAAATTTTTCCCA